GCTGGAGAATGGAACCAGATTGTGGAAACTTTCTTACTGCCCTATAACAGCTTCCTGTTTCTTCTTCCAGTAAAATGAATGAATAAACAAACAAACAAGCAAACTGTAAAAAGATAGAAAAATTATGTGCATAGAAACATCAAAGGTAGCATTGAGAGGGAGTTTAAAAGCAGTGTATGATCTGAGCGGTGTTTGAAAATGCAGACATCTTAATATTGGATTTCACTAAATTTCACACTCCATGTAGACCCCATTCACTTTTTTACTCTCCAAGCTCAGCACAGGGCCCGACACCTCATTGGTCCTCAGGAGCTGCTGTAATTTATGGGGTATCATTTTCATATGCTAGTTAGTATCGTGTAGTTATCACAACACCAGGAGACTGAGTCATTGCTTTATCCCCTCATCTGCTCTTACAGTTTATTTTCACATTCCGAAGTCAGAGGCCTGTGACATTGCAGGGAAGACTGTAAGTGCAGGAAGGAACCCATGAGTTAGAGAGATCTATAGTAAAAACATGAACGGTGTGTTTCCCTCTTGCTTTTCATAGCTAGAAGCCTTGTCTTCATGGAATTTGTTTTGCTCCTTTGTCATTAGAAAAAAGTTATTTTATATCTTCCAGAAAGCTTCCCAGACCTGTTACAAACTGTTTAATTAAAATGGCTTTGTTTAGAATGAGAGTCTACCTGGGTTTTATCGAATCAGAATTTCCAGAGGTTGGGCCAAAACATCTATGTGTTTAGCAGTACGTCTAGGTGTTTCTGATAGGCACAGAGTAGGAGAATGGGTCAGTTCGATACAAGGACAAGTTCAGTAGGGAAGTGGATGTTTGCAAATGATGACACATGAGAAAAAACATTTCTGTATATTTAATGCTTGATAGTACTATCCATTTGCATTTATACATTTCTCACATGAAGGAAAGCATATAAATATGAGACTATTGTCAGTGGCTAATGATAATTTGAACCAAAACTTAATGTTAGAAAAAAATAGAGAGGTGGCTCAGTTGGTTGAGCTTCCAATTTCAGCTTAGGTCATAATCTTGCAGTCGTGAGTTTGAGCCCTGTGTTGGGCTCTGCGCTGACAGCTCGGAGCCTGGAGCCTGCTTCACATTCTCTGTCTCCCTCTTTCTCTGCCCCTCCTCAAGTTGTATGCATAATCCCCCCCTTCCAAAATAAACATCAAAAGGTTTTTTAAAAATGAGAAATATGTATTCTAAAGTATATATATTCTATAGAGTAAGCTCTATATAAAGTAGGATATATGTGAATAAGCAAATATGATCTTTCCCCCAAAGAGTAATACCCACCTGAATATACTGTGTTAAACACTTTTTAACCCATGCATCTGAAAAATTGGCCTCAGTGGAAAAAATGAATTGACTGGAATTAGGAAGGATAAAACTATGTGATATATAAATAAAATTGTTCTTTTCTACTTCTTTTATATATAGAAGAAAACATATAAATTGAAAACACGCTTTTATTGCAACTCCGAGCAAGACATTTTAAGTTTCACTATGTCTGTGTCCTTGGGTCTGTCAAGTTGAAGGTGTGAGAACATTGAATCAGTTAAATGCTGCCATGGGCAGGACATTTTTATTATCATGATAGCTGTGGAGCTGGGCTTAGGGAATAATTTCTCTCTTAAAATCTGTCTGTAAGTATGGTAATTTTCCCGAAATATCATTATTATGTATTTGGAAGTTAATAAAAATGTTAGGGGTAGTCGCAGAAGCAATAACTCAAACACTTTTCACTTTTGCAGGAATGTTCAGTGATTGGTTCCACCATTAAACTTGAACTTAATTTTTCTTTTGTGCAGAGTGAATATGCTGAGTTGCTTTTGCTTTGAAAAAGCATTTATCTTTGTCCTAAAATACACTGGTATCCCTTACCTAATACTAGTGTATCTTTGGATTTACTGAGGGATAGATGAACTTGAACAATATATTTAAGGGTAGACATTCTTTATACATGCATAAAAACAGACACAACAGCTATGTAAATTTACTTAATAATTGCAAATAAATATGTTAAGAATCATAGTTCCCCTCATGTGGTAATAAGTATAGGGAAGTATGCTATCATTAACTCTATTTTCTTTTCTTTTTACTTTTTATGTTGCTCAACCCTTTTCTTTCTTTCTTTCTTTCTTTCTTTCTTTCTTTCTTTCTTTCTTTCTTTCTTTTCTTTCTTTAATGTTTATATTTAAGAGAGAGACAGAGACAGAGTGCAAGTAGGGAAGGGGCAGAGAGAGAAGAAAACCGATTCTGAAGCAGGCTCCAGATTCCGAGCTGTCAGCACAGAGCCCCCTATGCAGGGCTCGAACTCATGAATTGTGAGATCATGATCTGAGCCGAAGTCAGACACTTAACAGACTGAACCACCCAGGCGCCCCTCTCTCATCCCTTTTCTATTCTCATCAATTACAGTTCATCAGCCTAATAAAAAATATACCAATCATTTGCATTGGCTTTGTTTCTTATGACCTGGTGGATAGCTAATCTTAGAGAATAACCCAAAGAGGAAGAGACATCTACTCAATCAGCTTTCTTAGGACTGAGTCTTCTTGGAAAATTGGACTTTCCTTTCTAAAACAGGGATAGTCCAGGAAAAGCCAAGTCTTTTGGTCAATGTACTGTATACATTTTGGGAGGGGGGTATGGAGAAATGACAGTTTCACTTAAAAAGCATCTTTCTGGGAAACAGAAAACTTGCTATTTCACTGAATACTTAAGTAGCTGTGTTTGTGATAATCCTGTAGAACAAAGCAAGCAGGATATTAAAGAAAGAGGAAGTCTACATGAGGTGAATTCAACAAATTCTTCAGAAATCGGTATTGTATTTAGGAAGAGAATTCTCTTCATGTAAATTCTGCAAAGAATTACAGGCCAAAAACAATGTATCAGCTTAATATATACTAACAGAATTTCATATGTATGTAAAACAATCATGCTTTTTGTTTAAAAAAAATGAAACATGGCATACAGATTGCAGGCAATAAATGAATTATCAGTAGGTAATTAATCTTGTCAAAGGAAAATGCACTGAAGTGAGTTAACAGGCAAGGAAGACTATTTAAAACTTGCAGTAACGAAGAAGGAGTAAACTCATCATGGCTCAAACAAAATGCTGAAGGATTTTTAAACATTAGAGTGGGCTAATGGAAAAGTGGTGGGAGATGTTAGGAATTTTGGTCCCTGTGAGTAGGCTGTTACATTTCTTTAAGTTAGGTTCTTACCCTTTCACAGCAACTAAAAGATAGGTGGACAGTGTCAGTCTGCTTGGGCTGCCATAACAAAATACCACCGGATGGTTGGCTTAAACTACAGAGATTGATTTTCTCACAGTTCTGGACATTGGGAAGGGCAAAGATCAAAGTATCAGCAGGGGCAGAGTGGAGACTTTCATCCTGGCTTGTGGATGATGGCCTTCTTGCTGTGTTCCTACAAAGCAACTGAGAGAGAGAGGGAGAGATGGGTAGTTTGTCTTTCTCTTTTATAAGGACACCAGTTCTATCGGATCAGGGCTTCACCCTTATGATCTCATGTAACTTAAAAATCCTGTTTCCAATACAGTCAAATGGGGGGGAGGGGGTTAGGGCTTCAAATATAAAGTCGGGGCAGACATAATGCAGTCATAACAGGTACTGTCTTCCTTGATGATCACATTTCAAAGAGATGGCTCCCAAGTCATTTCTGAGTTGTCAATCTGGTGAGAGACTGGGAGAAGATTTCTATCCCAGAGAGGTAGAGAAAAAATTTACAATTACGAGTTTTCCAGAGTAAATGGTTGAAAAGGAAGGTCAGAGACTAGAGTCAGGAAGAAACTTGTCTAAAGTTTAGTCAGATGGAGGGAAACTTTAAGACTGTCTTGGCCAACCTGTGGGTCATCAGTGCTTCATGTACTCTGAAAAAGAAATTGCCTTGTCTTATCTTTTTTCATGGTAAAGCTGGCAAAGGATATTCGTGCATTGGCCAAGCCTTATCCTGAAGGGCCTGGGAAGTGCTGTGTAGTGCAGTAAGTGGTAACATTTCAATTAAGACTTTCAGATTCTTTGGCTTCCTGTTAGGTACAGGGTGATAGAAGTGGAATCTATGTTTAATAATAAGTTCTTTGTGTCCCTTAGGATTTCACTGTCCTTAGCCCAATTATCTATCTATCTGTCTGTCTACCTATCTAATGATAGCCTTGGAATAAGCACCCAGGTCTAAATCAAAGGTCAGCCCTCTATTTATCTTTGACAATAAAGGTCAGGACCAGGTTGTGTTTTGAGAGAAAAAAAGTATCAATGCAATATAAAGAGAGAAGATGAACGTGGGAAAGGAAACAAAGAAAACAGAAAGAAGGAATGTTTTCTTTTGGTCGGGTATTATCCATGTCACCTGTAAATGCTGCTGTCGGCACATTGCAGAAGCTTACTCCCTCTCTAGCTGTGTTCCAAGTCAGCTGCTCACAAAGGAGCTTTTCAATTGACTTACCATTTGATGAACTTCCAGTCAACTGGATGAAGAATGAGGATGGGACTAGAATGAGGTGAGGGACAGGTGCCTCTGGGTGCAAAATTTAAAAGGACACACAAAAAAATCAAAGCTAATTCAAAGTGAGATTGATATTACTGATTTTTCTTTTGGCTTAGGGTCCCATATCGGCTCTCTAAGGCATTGTGACTGATCCTGTCATGGTTGAAAATCTTTATATTTTATTTCCTATGGATGTTCACATTCCTTTTGGTTTTTAAAAAGTGTCACATTAAACATCATTTATATATTGCCAAACTTTTTGGGATACCCTTAAATTTTTTTGGCCAAGATATGTGCCTGCCTTACTGTGTCAGCCTATCCTTACTGTGCTAGAGGTAAACAAATAGTACTTCCCTCTAGATTTAGAATTTATTTTTGGTCTCTCTAGTTCAGTAAAGTAGGTCTAGAAAGTATCGTACTAACAGAGATGAACATTGGTCTGGTTAAAAGGAGCACTGTTTTTTTCCCCCAGGTCACTCACGAACATTCCAGAAGGAAGGATTTCTGCTGAGAGGGAGATTTGATGAAGAGAAATATCTCTGAGCATATACAGGTAATTCAAAGCACACTATTTAATGTCACCAAACGAGAATGTTAAATGGATAAACTGTTAATTAAGAGATAGAATATGTGATTCTAATGCTACAATTTCATCATCGTAAGTCTTTGAAACCTCTCTAACCATCTGTATCCCCTGTTCTAAAGAGGGGATTTATTCAGTCTCCCTCTTGACATTGTGAAAAGTGGATGTACTTTACAATGGTCCAAAAATGTACATTCACATTCCGGTAGGTTTAGGTTGTTAAACCTCTCACTGTTGATTTAGTTGGGTACCTGGCAACAAATGAAAAAATACATATTCGTTATTTATTTAAAGGATCCTTTTTTTAAAAAAAATTAAGTTTGTAGTCTTGGTATATGTGGTTAAAATGCACAGAATTCAAATGTTTAAAGCAAAATAATAAGTGAAGCAGAAAAGAGATATATAGCATTTCTGTTCACTTAGGAGGGACTTTACAAAACTGTAACAGCTCATATAACTCTTTTGCAATTTACATGCACTACAACTACAGTAGCATGAATTAATATGTTGTATTAGGTTGGCAAACCTTTTGTAAAGGGCCAGATAGTATATATTATCAGCTTGTCAGGCACTGTGGTCTCTGTTGCATTTATTCATTCCTGCTGTGGTAGTAGAAAAGCAGCTCTAGGTGGCAGTAAATAAACGGGCTTTATTTACAAAAATAGCCAGGGGGCTGGGTTTGGTCTACAGACCAGACTTGACCTACCCTGGTGTTAGAATATTCTACATGCTTTATTGAAAACCATAAACTGATTGTCTAACAGTGAGGCATAAGGGATTCATATCATTTATTGAACTGACTGTCCAAGCCGTTATCTAGATACAAAGGAACCTTCATCACTAATGACTTTGAAATGGTTCACATGTCTATGCCTCATCTTATCTCTTAGCGTTCTCTATCCAACAAGATAGAGACCATCTGAACAATTTTGCCAGCTATTACTCCTGAGTCTTATCGCACTACCTTCTCTACGAATCCTTTATACGATAGACAAAATTAACAGTCCTTCTTTAACTGTAAAAACTATAGGACATCAATGATACTGAAGTTACAAATATACAGATTATGAAGACCTAAACTTTGACTCCTGCATAATCCTCGCTCAAGAATTAAAACCTGGAGAATTACAACTCTTAGAAGTCTATTACCAGGTAGTTTTACTCATAGAAATAACCATTCGAATACTAATCTCATCAGAAGATGTTTCACAGTCATGAGCTGTACCATCATTAGGTCTAATGTCAGATGTTATTAGTAGTCTAGGTAAATATGCTATCTGTGTTTTGCCATATTCTGCCCCCTTATAAACTCTTAAAATTTTCTGAAAATTTGATACTTCTTTGAAGGCCATGAAGCTGAAGGACATTTCTGCGTGAGGAAAGTTTGTTTCACTGGCAGTAATAAAGCTTTTTAATGGGTATCAGTAACCAGCTAAAACCACAGAATTAAAGTGGCCTAATGTAGAAAGCTGGATAACTACATGTTTGGTTTTCTCTTGTAGGAGGACATCTTCCCAATTTAAGAAAATTTACTATAGCTGTAGGGACAGTGGTTAAATCGTGCTAAGTGACACTTTAAAATTGGGCTGCATATTTGGAAAAGCTGTTGTGACAGAGATAGCACAGCCTTGCCATTAGTGTCCTGGTCTCCTTTTTCCCTGGGTTATGTTTTTAGAAAGTGAACTGACATCCATAATTAGATACAGTCCTGGAGATACATGCGGTTGAAGCCACGTGAGTACATGAACACCAAAATCCCAGGTACTTCCGGTGAGTTTGTGCATTATTTCATGCATAGCTAGTTTCCTGAAATTAGAAGCTTTGTACTTCCACTTACATCTTTCCTTAATTAGTTTTGAATTATTTAAGCTGTTAGGCTAGAGAGGTTAAAATGTCTGGGACCAAAGTCTCAGGTGAACTGGATTTCCTAGAAACCATCTTGAATCTACAATTGATTGGGAGTGTAGGTAGGTGTTTGGCAGGTTGCATGTTAGCGTTAATACGCTACATCAGAGTAGATGGTTTTATGTTTTCATTTCTTGGTTACTCTTTGTGGTCAGATGGACACCCATTTCTCTCCACACCTCTTTCATGGCCAGGACCCGTGTGAGACACCTCAGACACACTGGTCAAGGAGACTTGGACTTGCTCAGATTCCCGAGCTGTGCCCCTCCTTGGATTGTGTCTGAAGAGTCTCTCCCACTCCCCATATTCTCTGCCCTCCCTTTTTCTGTTTATTTCTTCTCTGTCAGTATATGGAGAGAATGACTGGCAGATTGTATCTGCAAGGCACTTTTAATTCCAGAGAACAAACATGTGGCAATAATACCATATGGTATTGATAATATTTTAGTCAGAATATTTGGGGCTTAAAATATTTAAATTGTGAGAATTAAGTAGACAGAATATTTAGTTCAGCTAACATTCTCCTGGTTATGTGGCATAGGTTACCATATAACCACCGGCTTCCTCGGAAAGATCTCACCATATGAGGAATCTCCTGATCTTTTACGTTTAATCGTAGAACTTCAGACATACTTTCTGTGATGTTCTCTCTTCTCTGTTTTTATTCAAATGCCTCCTCAACTCCATATTCTTATTTCCTTCTTGGAGTTTTATTCTTCTTCCTATTTACATACTGTATACACTGAAGAGATAGAGCAGAAGGAAAGAAACACTTACTTATTGAGTCTTCTGCTGGGTGAGTCCCTTGTTTGATATTGTCCATCCCATAATTTCATATATCTAATTATTGTGTTTCTAAGATGCCACGATATGTATACTTTTTCTATGAAAAGAATTCTTAAGAGTCCTAGTGTTCATGACTCACAATAATAAAGGCTTTATTTCTCCCTCTTGCTCAGGTTTCAATAACAAAGGTATTTTTTATCGTTATATATGTATAGCTATAAAACCTAAATATCCCTGAGCAAATCTGGCATTGATTTCATCTAGCATTAGCTCAAAATAATGTGACTCTCTCTTTTTACCCTTAGGACTTAAACACAGGTTTCTTCCTTATCAATATAGGCATATATATGGGTATAGATAGGTAGTTCATTGTTAGGATAAATAAAGTACAAACCACTCAAGTACAGCATCTCTGTTGTAGCCACAATTATTTATTTTGCCTGGAAATGATTGATCTGAATTGAATCAAAGCATAAGGCAAATCTTGTTCCTTCATCACCCAGTAGGTCACATTACAACCAGTTAACCTTATTACAGGAGACAGATATATCCTGTAAGGGAAATGGCTGAATGTTTTCTCATGTGTAAGTCAGAACAACACAGTCATGAGCATATATGCATTACCTTCCCATTGAAGGGCAGAAAGGCCAAGGACATAGTCCGTAAATAGTAGAACAGATTCAAAGTCAACCCTATTTGACTCCAGATATAAATCTTAAATCCAACTATACCATTCATGAGTTTCACCATATTTATTTCTTTAAAAATTAGTAAAATACACATCACCTAAAATTTACCATCTTAGCCATTGTTAAGTGTACAGTTCAGTGACATTAAGTATATTAACATTGCTATGCTACCATCATCACGGTAAAGCCATGGAAGTCTTTTCATCTTGTAAAACTGAAACTCTACCCATTACACAATGACTCCTTATCCTCCCTCCCTTCAGCCCCTGGAAACTACCACTGATTTTGACCCCTCTAGATACATCATATAAATGGAATCGTATAGTATTTGTCTTCTTGCACCTGGTTTATTTCACTTGGCACTCTGTCTTCAAAGGTCATCCGTGTTGTAACATATATCAGGATTTCCTTATTTTTTGATATTTAACATTCCATTGTACGTACATACAATATCTTGTTTGTCCATGTTTCCATCAAGGTGGACGCTTAGGTTGCTTTTGAGTGTTCACCATATTTATTTATTTATTCCTCAGGTTGTATAAGTTTTTTTTTTATTAGAACCTCAGTAGGTTCTTTGTTGTGCACACTTTTAAGTTAATATTCTAAATAACACTTAATCCCAACAGAGAATAAAATGATGAGTTGATACTAGGACAGCCGTGGAATTCTTTTGTGTATTCCAGATAACTGGTGGATAGGGGTTTGGAGAGTCACTTGAAATACCCCAGAAAAAGAAAATAAAGACTATGGATTCCATTGCCCTGGGTGAAGGAAAGAGACACATGCTTCCATTTGACCACAAAAAACAATACTGGTTATGCCTACCTGGAACAGCATTTCAAAGAAGTTTGGTAATATGGGTCATGAAGTTTGCTGTAAGTTCTTTTTTTTGCCTTCTGGTAAACAGCTATAGGTAAACACATTATATAGGTAGCCTTAAGGACAACTCAGTGGGGAAGAATCAAGTACATGCCAGAAGAACATTTTAAATCAAAACATATGCAACCAGCATTTTCTGATAATCATTTTGATTTGAAGTCATTGAAGTTACTGAAGTCATTTTTTTCTTAAATAAAATTACTTTTATATTTCCAAATTTGCATGCATAACATGCATGTTGAGGGTATGTCTCCTTAGCTTAGAATTTTGAGTTCTGGGTTTATACCATGAACTCAGTTTAAAAGGCCAGAATCCAAATTATTATAGCTTCATGCCCAAAGTGGGTAGAGGGCTAATAAGTAATAATTGTTAGTAACTTACCTTAAATTGGCATAATAATGATATATTTTAAAATTGACTTTTTAAAAAATATTTTTTGGTTGAAGAAGTTAATTCCAGAATGCCATTGTTAAACTTCATAACATCTTGTTTTATTAATTCACCTTACTCTAAGAGGTACTATGAATACATTTGATACTATTTTCATGAATGTATATAATATTCAGAATTACCTTGACTACTCTCAGGAAATTATTTTACCTGGGTGGCTCTGTTGGTTAAGCATCCAACTTCCGCTCAGGTCATGATACAGCTGTTTGTGTTCCAGGCCTGCGTCAGGCTCTCTGCTTACAGCTCAGAGCCTGGAGCCTGCTTCTATTCTTTGTCTCCCTCTCTCTCAAAAGTAAATAAACGTTAAAAATTTTTAAAAAATGGTTTTACTTATGAGCATTTTCTATTTTAGCCTAAAAAAGTGGTTATGTAAACAAAGAAAACAAATAATTAGAATTTTTTTTCCATTGGAAATATTCAATGAGGAAAAGCTATTTTTGTTCTTTATTCTGGTTTTATATACATGCGTAAAGTACTTTGATCTATACACCATGAAATTTGTGAATTACATGAATATTGATTATTTTACATTTATATTTTCCTTATATTCTGTGCATCTCAATTGTTTAACTAGACATCTTTTGAAGATTCTTTCTTAAATGTGTTAAAACTGAAAAAGCACTCAGTTTCCTAATTAATCCCATGGTACCAGATTATATTATTTCTTTATTTTTTAACATCACACTTTTTAATCAAACTTAGAAAGTGTTTTCTTCTAATATCATTTTAAGACTATTTTTAATTCAGTTTGCCACCAAATTACCAAAGCAACCAGTTATTTCAGTTGAAACAGTTCATTTCCTAGAGTGATGGATATCATGGACAATTATTATTTACTGTTGTATATGTAAAATGATCCATTGATTGATTAAACATTTTATTTTTTAAGTTATTATTTCATCATCTAGGCAGAGGCTAGGTAAGAAGCTTTTATTTGCAATTTCTAAAGTATTGAAGTGTGTATTGTGTGTTTGGAATATGCTTCTGGTTCCCAAGGATCTATTAATATAATAGAGAAGATGAGTCAAGTGAATAGAAAACCATTCAAAGAAAACAAAGCAATGATAGTGACTACAGGAGTCAGAAATACTTTGGATTTGATATACTTTGCAACCTAAAAGGCTCTAGGTACATAAACTGGGAGAATATAGACATATCCTGAGTTTGGTCATAGAAAATCATCTGTGCTCAGGATGTGTACCCTACATAGGTCAATAGCTGAGAGAATCTTTGATTTCCATTGATCTGTATGCCAGAATCCTCTGTCTCTTCTGAATCCAGTTTTACAGCCCCAGATTCTGCAACTAAAAAAAAAAAAAAAAAAAACTGCTGATAGCCATGGTCCTTCATCTGTTACTCTAGCATTCTTTGTGACTAGCTCTGGCATCCTTTGCTCTTAATACTCTACGTGGGCCCTGCAGAGGTGTCAAGATAGCTAAAACTGAATATTGCTATGAAAATTCAACAAATTTGATGAAATGTGAAGGAATTGACTGTGATAATTTCCCAAAGCCTTACCTGAATTATACATTAATAGTAGTTTTTGGATAAAGCAGACAAATAATAGTAAGGCCTTTTCTTGCATGTGGTGGAGTAGAGCTGGCTTGTTGGAATGCATTTGAGAATTAAGGATGCTCATGTAAAAAGAGATGAGAGATGACACAAGGTACATTTGATTGGAAAAGTAATCATTTATATATGCTTGCTTCTGGAGGTATTTGGAAGCCAGAGTCCTTGGAATGAATTCAAGGAAAAGAGAGTTCCATGTAATGTGCATCAAGTTACAAAAGTAAGAACGTTAACTGGGAATGTTCTTGGAAGAGGTAGAGCTGATTCAAAAAGTAAACAAATTATGCTGGAAAAAAGATAGAATTTACTCATAGTTTCTATGTGCCAAGTTGGCATATTTTCTCTTGGGCCACCCAATTTATTATTGTGCTAAAATTAGAAATAATTAGATTATCTTCTTGTTTTGATTTCTCCCCTGGGAGCAAGCATTTACCACAAAATGGATTTGTGGTATTTGGTAAGGGTATTTTTATTGTTCAGTTTGTTTAATTTACATTAAATTCCTACCCCCAAGATCTCCCTTCTTCTTATCAGGAAATAGTACTATGGGCTGTGTGTTTAGGTAGACCTTTTAAACCTGTGTGAGCCACGTTAGAAGAAAAACTAGCCTCTGAGATTTCTGTACATTAGTGATACAGAAGCTGAGGTAGATGTTTCCATTTACTTCATACAGGTCAGTCTCTTCTGTGTTCCTGATTTCTATTTCCTTCTTTTCCTCTGCTTTTCACCTTTTCTGCATAGTTAAATTTTTTTTTGTGTGTTTATTTATTATTGAGAGAGAGAGACAGAACACAAGTGGGGGAGGGCAGAGAGAGAAGGAGACACAGAATCCAAAGCAGACTCCAGGCTCTGAACTGTCAGCATAGACCCTGACGTGGGGCTCAAACCTACAAACCACGAGATCATGACCTGAGCTGAAGTTGGACACCTAACTGACTAAGCCACCCAGCCACACCTTTATATAGTTAAACAAACTTCAAATCTGGTAAAAAGAAAAAAAAAAGGAAAAACAAATTTAGCTCCACTGAATTTGTCTTCCAAGTTCACAAGGATTACATTTACCTACAGTAATCCTTCATTACAAATTGACAAATTACACCTACCTTTCAATATAGGCAGCAATACCCAGTTTTACTGAAAGTCAGAGGGTAGGTTCCTGGCATTGTATTCAGCATCCTTCGGATCCAAATGACTACACAGGGCTTGTCCAGTCGCGCTGCCCACAGCATCATATTAAATCATCCATATGTATTTTTTGGTTTTCTAATCTACAAAGTAACTGATTCAGCAACAGAACAGAATGGAGTAAAAAATATATATATAAAATATAAAATATATATATGTTTTTAAATATTTTAAACAGAATGGAGTAAAATAATAAATATATATATTTAAATAATATTTAAAAAATATTTTAAAAAATAATTTATATTTTTAAATTGTGGATTGACCGTAGGGGGTGATATTCAGATAAGAAAAGAATATGGGTGCCTGAGTGGGTCACTTGGTTAAGAATATGATTTCAGCCCAGGTCATGATCTCATGGTTCATGGGTTCAAGCCCCACATTGTGCTCTCTGCTGTCATCATAGAGGAGCCTTCTTAGGAACCTCTGTCCCTCCCCCTCTCTCTGCCCCTCCCCAGTTGTGCACACACTCTCTCTCAAAATATAAATACTCAAAAGAAAAAAAAAAGAATAGTGTTGATGCCATCAGGGAAAACTTGACTGAGGCATCTGGACTTGAGCCTAACTTTAAAAAATTGGAAGAACATGGTTAAAAAGAGAAAGGCCAGATCAGCAGATCATAGCACATCAGTTACTGTAAACCAGCTAGAATTGAATGAACCTGTTGGGCTCACTATTACATCTCGCATATCAGTGGGCCTTTATTTTCCCTTTCCAGAGCCCCTGGTGGCTAAATTCCCAGAGCAGATTTCACATCTGCTTGTCATATAAACTTCAGCTCTGGTCTAGTGAGGATTAAAGTCTCCCTGAGATCCTGACCGAGCAGGCTTTCTCCCACTTTATTTGACACCGCACCAAATCACAGAGATGCTGGCTCCTTCCCCGACTCACCCTGTGTTGTAAATCCTCTGCACACCACAAGGTCAGCCGAGTATTAGATGCAGAGTCCTGTCAGAGGTGCTGACAGCTCCATCTTTCTGAGGGAAAGGGAGTGCTGGGTCCTGAAATTCAGTTGCAGTCCTGGCC